CCCCGGGGCTGAGGCATCCCCATCCCTGGGGTGTCTGACAGAGCCCCTTGCTCCCTGCTGCCTTCACCTGGGGTGCTCTGCAGCCCGGGTGACCTCGGGAGAGGTGAATTTGGGGTGCTGCCTGCCCCGGGAGGCTGGGGCAGGGGGGTGCTGGGGGGGCTGTGCCCTGTGGGCTCGGGGGGGACGTTGGCCCGGGGGCGCCCTGCTCACTTTGGGAAGCGCCACCCCACGGTGCTTGCCCGCCTCGAGGAAGTGGGTCTGTGGGGGTTGATGTGAAGGCGTGAGGATTGTGCTCCCACCGCCACACCTCGCTGGGGTACCGGGGGGGAGGATGCTGCACCGGGCTCTCCCTTGCACCCCTTTTCTGTCCTTTCTCTCTGTAACTTTTCCATCCTTCCCTCTGCATTCTCATTCTTCCAGCACGGTGATAGGATATATTCAGTTTAAAAATAGGACTGAGGCTGACGTTCCCCTGAGAGAAAGCTGTGCTAACTCATGGCTTATCCTTTGGGTCAGAATTGCTGTGATATCCTGTTAGAGGGAATGAAATGGCAGGCAGGGATGAAAAAATCACTTAAAGAGCCTAAGTGCTTGGGCCTGAGGTGACCCTGGCAGCATGCGTGGCTTCAGCTGTCGGACATGCTCATGGAGCAACAGCCACATCTGGCCTGGACCGAATAATTCAGGCCCTGGTTTGTGCAGTGGCCCCGAGAAAGAGGGCAGCCCGCAGGCGGGGACACTGGGAGGCCAAAAACCCTGCTTGGGGTTTCGAGGAGCACTGCAGGTGTGTGGCCAGGAGGGGGTTAGGGGCTGCAAAGGGGATGGATGGGAAAATGGGGCATCTGTGCTGAGGCTGTCTTGGTAGATGTGAGTTTGGAGGGGATGCCTGCGCCGTGCCCCCCCCAGACCTTGTCATGCAGCAGCATGGCAGAGGGGCTGTCCCCCGTGAAACGTGCACAGCGTTTGATGCCACAGCTGATGCTCAGGGACTTGGGATTGTGTGAAGTTCCTTCCTCTTTAATCTGAGATTTTTGCCCCGGAAAGGCGACAGTGGCACCGGCTCTGCACTTCAGAGTGGAGCCAGTCCTGGCCAGGGCACACGCTGGCAGGGTGAGGGGGGATGCCAGGGTGTTGCTCCGAGGAGCTGTCCCCCATGGGAAAGAGGTCGGCTTCTGGCAGGGAAGCCCCAACTTTGGCCCCTGGGAAACTGGGCTTGACTCCCAATAACCGGGAGTATGTCTCCCAGGCAGCGTGGCCACCGCCCACAAAGGCCAGCAGGTTTTGAGGTGCCCTTGAGGACAGACAGTGTGCTGGATAGAGTACATGTCTTGTTGCAGTGGGGCTGCACAACCCCATGCCTCTTGGCAGTCGCTACTACCAGGGCATGTGGGGTGAGAAGAGGTGGCCCACCAGCCCTCCCAAAGTGCCTCCTCAGGCCCTTGGTACCAGGACCTGAGCGCCTCTGGGAACTGCGCTTCCTCCTTAAAACGAGCTTGGGAAGTGGTGATCCAGCCCCCCAGTCCTGGGGATTTAACAGCAGCTTCATGATTGCTCTTGGCATGTTAATCAGTGCGGCCCTTCGCTGAGGCCAGGCAAAGTGCTCCTGTGGCCTCCTTCCTTCAGGGTTGAGGCCACCGAGACCAGGGTGGGTGGGGCACCACCAAGACCAGCAATGCTTTTTTCCCAGGGTGGGAAGGGCACGTTGGGGACGTGGCGCTTATGCTGGCTCCCCCCAGCTGGTGAGGGCGTTGGGGGGATGTCTGGCCCCTGCTGCCATGCTTCCTCTGCCCGGGGGGACACTGCGCTGGGTGGGGAAACAAATCTGTTGGTGCTGTTGCTGAACGATGCTTGGAGGTTGAAGCTCTTCTGTAAGATGAGTTATAGGTCATGCACATGCTGCCAGAGCCCAATACTGCTCAGAAAATACCCATCTGAGAGGAAAAAGGCTTGTTTTCTCATGACTGGGCTGCGTAGCACCCCACTCCCCAAGTTCTGCTGTGAGGAGAGACCTAAGAAAACATTATTGGTACTTTTAGCCCCAAATGGCGTGTGTGACACCTTTATTTCCAGAGTCTGGCGTGTACGGGAGGAGGACGGGCAAGGCTGATTTCAGCAGGCTGGCTGTAGGCACAAGGGGCTTTTCCTGCCCTTGAGAGGGATTTCCCCAGGGGCGTACTTGTTCTGTCACAGCCAAGTCAGAAATTTTCCTCTAAAATGCATCTTTTTTTTTTTTTTAAAAAAAAGGCAACCCAAAAACATGACCCTGTAGCTGTCCCGGAGTCCATGTAGGTCCCTCTACGGGGCAGAGGGACAGAGCGGGAGCACTGCATGGAGCCAGGCAGCTGAGGAATAGGGCTGTGTGGAGAGGAAATGCAAACCTATGAGACTGACTTAATTTTTTTTCTTCTTTGTCACACTGATGCAAAAAGAACTGTGATTTATTTTGGGATTTCTGTCATCCTAGGTATTTTGGAAATATTTGCTGTGTCTCAGGGGATTGTAGGAATACGAGGAGTTTTCAGCAACAAATTTTTAGCGATGTCACAAAAAGGAAAACTCCATGCAAGTGTAAGTAAACCCCCGCTTATCAGTATGTATTGTTTATTAAAGGCCTTGTGACACCTTCATGTGCACATGGCAGCAATGGTCCTGGGCAGGGCCCCAGCGTGCCGAGCCCCTTTGGCCGCTGGAAGGGCTCCGTGCTGGGTGGCATCAGCACTGCACAGACAGATAGGGGACAGGTGGAGCCAAAAACCCCAAAGCCCATATCCCTATATCCCTACTTACTGCATTTAACCAAGAAATGTGGTGGTTTTTTTTTTTTTTTTTTTTTTTTTTTTCCCCCTTGCAGTTGGGTATTTGCATCAAAAGGACTTGTTCTTTGAGCATTGCCGGTTTATTTTTAGCGACTTCAGCAGATCGCACAGACTGTTTTAGCCAAATGTCTCCCAGAGAGCGGCACGTGTGGCGCTGGGAGCCCGCCTGTACCCATGCACATGCAGGGAAGGGGATGTGGCCCTGGAGTTTTGGCTGGGTTTGCCCATGGAGGAGAGACGTCCCCGGGTGCGAGTGTGCGGCTGCATGCAGGGTTTTGGGCAGGTGAGGTCCAGCCTGTTTGGGAGCGTAGCAGCTAGAGTGGAAAAAATCTCAGTAACTCTTGTTTCTGCAGGCTGTTTTCCTGAAGCTTGTGGCTTCCTGCAGGTCTAATTGTGCTTTTTTCCAGGCTTTTTGCATTGAATGAATCCTATAAGTTGATTTCAATTCTTTTTTCAACTTCAAGATACTGCTTCCTATTTTTTCCCTGTTAGTTCTAGAGATCATTTAAACAAATGAAAGTAGCTCCTGTGCTTACATGAAAGTCGTCATCTTTTAAAGTGTGTATAAATGCAATACTTGGAGAGGAGCATTTTTAAGGCAGCATCTTGGATGATCTGTCACCCAAGTTTGTTCCTAGGAAGCCTGTTCAGGGCTGATATAGCCTGAAAGAGGGAAAAGCCAATTGCCTGCCCTGTGGTTATGAGCCAAACCTCATGGTCACAAAGTGGATGTTACTGATGTGCTTACGCTGCCCGAGCCCACAGATTGCCTCCAAGTCAGATTTATGAACTCGGCTCTCTCTCCCTTGAGTCTTATTGGAGTGTTGCTCCTGAAACCTAATGATGCTTAAAGGGTGAGCACATGGTTGCTTATTTTAGGAAACAAAGTAGGAGCGGGAACGGTGTCTAGGGGAAAGGGGGAATGGCTGCACAGAGGAAAACACAAGGGAAGGAGGTGGGGTGTGAAACAGGAAGAGCAGGAGGAGAGCAGTGGAAAGGTAAAGCATGGAGAGGAGAGGGAAGCAGGCGGAGCGTGATCCCCGGTCCCTCCAGAGCCTCCCCTCCCTCGTGGCATACAATGGGCCCCTTATCCGAGCTGAAGCTTTGATTTATGCCCTGGTGCAGGCAGAAATTAAATCAAACCTCATCAGTGTACAGTTAATTGTTGGCACACAAAGGGCAGTGCCGGAGAGGGACCTCAATTAGGTGGGTCAGAGCCAGGGGTGAGGACACACGATGCCCCACTCGGATGAAAGCCGTGAATTTGTAGAAACTTGACCCAAATGTCTAAAGATTGCTGGGCTAAATAACGCCGATAATGCAAACCCAGCATCTGTTGTTCTTTCCTGCCTTGGCAGGATAAAGTTATTTCATGGCCTAATGAGTTTTGAGCAGTACAAAGCGCGTCCTGCGCCCGTCACTCAGGGCAGTGCTTTGATATGGGAGTCACGCCGGTGACTTTGTGCTGAACTGCAGATAAAAGTCATTCCTGCAGGGATTCGGGCTCCTTCAAAACCGTCTCTCAGGGCCCAGCTTTGTCCCAGTTCGGTGCTTTACAGCAGCCCTTTTCTTTTTTTTTTTTTTTTTTGATGGCAACTTAATTAAATTACCAAGCAGTTCATTTTTAGAGGCACTAGCTTCAGAAAATGACAGTAATCCCGGCAATTATCAGTTGTGTGCACAGATGGCTTTTTCCTCATTGGTAAGTCCTCGGTCCCCTGTTTGTATGTTTTTAGCACGGAATGGGCAGGAAGGGGTTTGGTGTCGGTCTCGGCAGGGTCTGGCATGAACCCCAGAGGACAGATTTGCCCACAGGGGTCTCAGGTAATTCTCCTTTCTTGTGAGTTGTTCTGAGTTGACCAAATGCCATGGTCATCACTGGGGCAAATCTCTGTTGAATTGGATTTTGAAATTTAATTGACTTCAGAATTTCTCTTCATGATTGTCTCTGGAGCTGCTGCAGAGAAAATCCAATGGCTAGCCAGTGCACCATGGCTGTGCTGCCCGCACTGTGCCGGGAAAAATGCCTTTTCCCTGGCTGAAACAGTGCAGTTCCTGAGCTGAGAGGCTGGGAGGTGGGGAAGCCTGTCAGAGTGATGGCGAAGCAGCAGCTGATGCGCTTCCCAGCGCGGTTTGATGTCTGGGGGTGAGGACTTCCCTCCACATGCACCGGCTGCGGGTCTCCTTCTTTGTACTGCCAGCAGGAGCAGCCCACAGCACCCCTCCATGTCCAGGGAGAGGGACACCCCCCCCCCTTCCCCAAATCCCACTTTGGAGGGAATGCTACTCCAACTCTTATGGAGCAGTCCCCCCAAGACCACTTAAAGCTGGAACTTCTTCTGTGATGCTCCAGACAGGGAGCTGGGCAGCCCTCTTACTCCCACCTCCCTTTGCGGGCTAGTATGGCCCCAAAAACACTGGGCTCAATTGGAAATGCTGATTTGGTTTACCCACGAGCACAGCATCAGTGAGCTTACCCATCTGTACAGGGATACGTATGAGTGGGGGCACAAGCATCTTCTATTCACAGCAGCACTCGCAAAGCCCACTGGAGCCAATTTCAATATCAGCTCCTCGGCCATGTCCAGCCTCGATGCCCAGAGCAGGGCAGCCAACTTCATCTCCCACATCAAAAAGGCCTGGTCTTGCCATTTACCCATATCCCGCTGGGAAACACAGGGCCTGTTTCAGGGCCTTTTGTGCTGAGCACCCTTTTAGGTATGCATTGGTGCCTCAGTCAATCCTAAAACCTCCCTGTGCAAAGGCCGATGCAGGGGTGTCTTGCCTGAGCACTGCTGCCTGTGTTGGGGCTTCAGAGAGCAATGAGGGGTTGGCAAAGCCTTGCCTTGGGAAGGTGGATACTTGTGCATGGGCGATACAGCATCGAGAACGTGTAAAAGACAGGTAAAGCAAAAATGAGTCATCAAGGTGATGTTTCTTTCAAGCAAAGAGCAAAAGGAGACTTAATTCAAAGTGCTATGAGCAAAAAAAAATGCATGGCAGGCTGGGGACTCTGTCACTTGTATTGTAGGACTCAACTTCTCTGGTTGAATTAGGAGTTTAAAAATGATCCCAAACAGCTGGGCCTTCTGCATGGTTATAAACTGCTTCGGGGTTTTGTCTTGTCCTCCATTGCTGGGGGTTTTGAAGCTTGAGAGCTCAGCATCCCTTTCATATCAATAGTTTTGAAGCATTGCTTTGCCGTCAGGCTGCGGTGCCCCAGGCATGGCTGGAAAAGCTGTCAGGGCACCAGGTACTATGCCCATAGTCAGATTAAAGCGTGGCAAAGGATGTCTGAGGGGCCGCTGGAGGCTGCAGCCAGGTGTCCCAGGGTCCTGGGTACATAGCTGGGGCATTATGGCTCTATTTTTGTATTTCTGCATGCTTTTTTATTTTTTTCTTCCCCCTGCTGTTATGGGCAGCATTCAACCTGTCCTCTTGGGCAGTGGGAAGCCTTTGCCCCCGGCCGTCTGGGAGCCAGTGCAGCCACCCTGTTTATAAGAGGCAACGTTCTTGGGCTGCAAGTAATTTCTTCAGGTTATTGAGGGACAAAACGTTCCAAGTTCATTTAAGACGAAGAAGAAGAAAAAAAGAATTCCAATACAATCAAAGCCATGTTCAGTGAAGCAATGAAAATCTGCATGCAAATTGCCTTTCCAGATTATTAAGTGATGATTCAGTGCCCAAGCAAGGGGTGCGAGGGTGGGAACAGAGATAGAGCGGGGGCTCAAACCCAGGGTCCTCGGTGGGGCTGCTGCACAGGGGGTACAGAGCTGCATCCTCCCTCTTTTTTTCCAAGATAGTCCAAAATTGGGTGGCAAGCAGCTACTGAAAGTATCTGTGGGGGTTTTCCAAATTGCTGGGTGCCCAGTGGCCTTGGAGTGGGTTTCCCAGATGCCCCATGTTGCTGCTCGCCCCTTTGGACCTGTTTTTGGGAGACTTAAAAACCCAGCAGGCCTTGCGGGACAGGGTATGGGTAAAACCAGCCCCTTGCTAACGGTGCCCCTGGCTCTGTCCCCGCAGGCCCGGTTCACGGCGGACTGCCAGTTTCGGGAGCGCTTCCAGGAGAACAGCTACAACACCTATGCCTCAGCCGTCCACCGCAGCCCGCGCTCGGGACGCCAGTGGTACGTGGCGCTCAACAAGCGGGGCAAAGCCAAGCGGGGCTGCAGCCCCCGTGCCCGGCCCCAGCACGTCTCCACACACTTCCTCCCCCGCTTTTGGCAGCCC